GGGTGGAAAGGTAAGACATAGGCCTACAACTTTTATGTGGAGGTCTGGTTTTAAGAAGGTCATTTTCAAGTCCAAATTGTAGAAACAATGAAGAAGTCTGAATCTATCTTATAACCCGAATACTATTTAGTATTTTGGCCCATATCTAAAGTTCTAGAGTTCAAATGACCTTTATTTTTTTTCCTAGAAAGTTGAGACAATTTTCTACAACTTTCATGTTTTCAAGTGGTTCCAATTCTGACATTATCAATAACGTTTTGGGCAGCCAAGAGAAGATAAGGATTGTCACCACATCAAGAGTTGACCACTAACTCATCAATTAGTCATTAAATCAATAGCTCCTAATTTTGGCCTATAAAAAGAGGCATTTGCCATGCATTTAGGTATCTTGATCTCCAGATCAACATCATACTCTTGCTTGCTCTCATTGTATCTTTGTATTGTTTAAGTTTTGCTTTCATTAATATCAAGTTTATGCTTTTTATTTTCATTCCTTTACTTAGTTAACTTTTATCTTATATATGTTCTTATTTTGTTTATTTATATTCTTTCATTTATTATGTTTAGTTAAGTTTATTATGTCAAGGTGAAAAGGTTATACTAATGGTGTAAGAATAAGTATAGTGTAAACTTAACATGAACTTTAATGATTGATACTAACATATTTTGTGTTTGTTATCTTATTCACTCTTTAATATTTTGTTTGTTAAATAACTAATCTAGATTTATGTTGTATGACACTTGGTACAACAAATACTTGGCACTTTCATAGCACAAACCATATGGGATAACCGACACCTATGCTATTAAAAGAATTTGATTTGTTGTTAACATAATAATTATGAATACCTGACAACATTTATAAGTATTAGCATTAATTGAATAAGATAACTAATGTAATCACATTAACAATTTATAATCTGATTGGAACCTCTTTTGTGTGTGGTTTCTAATTAAATAATAAGAGTTTATACTATACTTGTTTGACATACCATTAGTGGATCCTTTAATCTTGACATTTATTGTTATCATTGTTTAATCCTTACATTAATCTTCCATCTCAGATCTCTCATCTTCTTTTTCTTCTTCTTCGTCCTCTTCCTCTTATCTATTATTATTATTATTATTATTATTATTATTATTTAGTATTATTATTGTTATTATTATAGATTTGTTGTTATTGTGTTATAATTATTATTAATATTGTTACTATTATTATTATTAGTATTAGTATTTAGTATTATTATTGTTATTATTATGGATTTGTTGTTGTTGTGTTATTGTTATTTATAATTTATACAATTAACCTCCTTGTGGTTCGACCTTGGTCTTGTCGGGTTATTTATTACTTTGACACTCCTGCACTTAGGAGAAGACATCAATCTTTTGGTCGTGTTATATTTTTGGTGTCGTTGTACAAATTATAGTATTTATTTTATTTTCTCTTTTCTTGTATATAACTTTATTTCTTTTCTTTTGTTTCTTCTTCTTTTGTTTTCTTCTTTCTCTTATTACATTCCTACACGTGCATGAGAGTGTAGTCACGTACATTAAGTGGTAGACTTTGTAGGGTATCCTCATCATTTTCAAAAAATATGGTTGAAGAAGATAACTAGTCGTTTCATAATGAGAATAACGAGAATAACCATGCTAGAACACTTAGAGACCACATGAATCCCATAAGAACAAATGCACCATCATGCATAATTTTCCCTCCTGATGCATCTCATTTTAATTTTAAGTCAGGCATTATTCAACTTTTACCTCCTTTTCAGGGCTGAGATTTAGAAAATTCATACTTGCATTTAAGAGAATTTGAGGAGGTCTGCAACATGTATAATGACTCAAGCTATAGCATGAATACCATCAGATTAAAGCTTTTTCTTTTTTCATTAAAAGATAAAGCTAAAACCTGGTTACAAAATTTGAGACGAGGATCCATTTGTGTTTGGGATGAAATGCAACAATAATTTTTAAAGAAGTTTTTTCCATCTCATAGAATAAACTCTTTCAAAAGACAAATCATTACTTTCATTCAAAAACCAGAAGAAGCATTTTACCAATGTTGGGAAAGGTATTGAGACTTGCTTAATATTTACCCTCATCATGGTTTTAAAACATGGAGATTGGTTTCATATTTTTATGATGGGTTAACACCGTAAGATAGGCAAATGATTGAATTGATGTGCAATGAAACCTTTACAGATAAAGACCATAATAAAGCAATAGAGTACGTAGACTTGTTAGCTGAAAATGCTTAAAATTAGGACACCGCAAATACTTATGAGGCACCAAGTAAAACTCAACCTCATACATCTAGTGGAGGTAGTATGTATAACCTTAGGGAAGATCATGACCTCTAAGCCAAGTTTGCATCTTCAGCTAAAAAAGTTGAGGCACTAGAATTAAAAAAAAGTGGTCAATTAAAATTTGTTCAAAACATTATATGTCAAATATGTGAAACAAATAAACACCCAACTAATGATTGTCCAACTTTGCCTTCTTTTAAGGAATGTCTCCATGAACAAGCTCATGCTTTAAACAGTTTTTAAAAGCCCAATCATAACTCATACTTGCAAACATACAATCCGGGTTGGAGAAATCACACAAATTTTAGTTCGAAGAGTGATAACAATAATACACAAACTTCACAATCACCATTTCAAGCACACCATAATTTTTAAAATTCTCATGGATATGTATCTTCTTATACTCCACCTCCTAAAAGAAATCTTAAGGAAGCATTGCATATATTCATTAAAAAGCAAGAGACAATCAATACTCAACTTACTCAAAGCATGATAGATTTGTAATTCATAATGTCGTTATTTAGGAATGGTATCTATAAATCGTGAAGATAAAATACAATTCATTAAGGAGGGCCTGAGTAAGGAGTCTTTAGATAATCTTCTATTGACTCTTGAGACACATCCTAGTGGAGATATGCATCGTGTAATTCATGATTTATGGCCACTATTTCATAAAGAACATGCTCGACTTAGTCTTGGAAATCTGACTAAAAAAGACCATGTTTGCTAGTTTTTTAAAAAATTGGATGGGAAGCCTATCCCCGACCCATAGAGGGCATTTAAACCGTTCTTGGATGTAAAACTAAGGGAAGATGTGAGCCACAATCACAACTACCTGTACATACACATGTTTTTTTTCAAAAGTAAATAAATAAATAAAGAGAGAGAGAGGGTGTGAGACTCTAGCTAGCTTACATATAGGTGATATGATTGCCTTTCTAATTTCTTATCTATAAAATCCTCTCTTCCTTTCATTTCTACTCAACCCATACATTCAACAAATACAGAAGTGTGTAGAAATGGCAAGTTCCTCAGGTCATCATATAAGAAATATTTGTGTTTTCGGTGGATCTAGTCCTGGGAAAGAAAAGGAGTTTTTACAATCAGCAACTCATCTTGTCAAGTGCTAGCTGAGAGAAAGATTCATTTAGTGTATGGGGGAGGTAGTCTTGGGTTAATGGGAGGTGTGTCAATAGCTGTATTTTTAGGAGGCAGTCAAGTTTTGGGGGTCGTCCCTGAAGCTTTGGCACAAGGAGTCAAGTTTTGGGGGTCGTCCCCGAAGCTTTAGCACAAGGGGACATCATTGGAAAAACAATTGGAGAGGAACTTCAAGTCTCCATAATGTCGACTCGAATGAATGCAATGTTTAACCATACTGATGTCTTCATTGCTTTATCAGGTGGTCTAGGCACATTGGAAGAGATCTTTTATATTTCCTCTTGGGCCTAATTGCACATTCACCATAAACCCATAGGTTTGTTAAATGTTAATGGTTATTATGATAAGTTGTTGTCTTTTCTTGATCATGCTGTGGAATAGGAATTTCTAACATCTTCTACACGACAAATCATAATCTCTGCTACTACTGCTAAACAATTGATTGACCAACTACAATCTTTCATTCATGTAATTGATCCTTCTATGAGTCGTATAAATTGGTCACCTAAGGAAAGCCGTAAAAAGCTTAGATTGGATTTAAGCCTTCATTTGTGAATCTTTGTGTCTTTTGGTTTTATTATTGTGTTTTGTTGTTTCTTATATTTGTTTCTAATGCATTAATTAATTGTATGAATGGACTGATGAAGCTATCATTTGAAAACATGACATTGAAGATGAATATTTTTAACATTTACAAGCAACCCGGAGATGATAATGATTTACAAGCAGTGAATTTTACTGAAAAATTAGTTCATGATCAATTTCAAACCACTTCAACTGAAATTGAGATTGATAAATCTAATGATTTGCAAATGGTTTATTTTTAGAAAGAATCAAAGGCAAGAAATTTGAGATCACAAATTGAGGAATTGCCACCACGATCAATTAAGTTCATACCTTCAAGTGTTCAGCCACCCAAACCTGATTTGAAGTCGTTCTATTCAATCTCAAGTACTCAGTTTTAGGAGAAAATAAAACTTTTCCGATAATAATCTCTTCTAAACATAATGCAGATCAAGAAGGTAAGTTATTACAAACTCTGAAAATGCACAAAAATACATCAGGATGGACTATAACTGACATAAAAGGATTCAATAAAGTCTATAATATTAATATCATATATATAATATATTATCTTATATAATGTACTTGAAAAGCAATAACTGTTATAATACTTACTAAAAAGGAGAAAGAGAATTATCATAAATAAGAGAGACTTAAAAAAAATAAAAAGTTTTG